ATTCCGGGGTAGTGAAGCATTACATCTGATATCAGTGAATGCTTTTACTACAACACAGGGCCCATACATCACATACATGTAGTCTGCAGTTCTTCCCAGGCCTCAGACATGACGGGACACGCTTATGTAGCTATGCATTGTTTGGTGTCAATATTCAACACTGCAGCCGTTCATTTGTACTGAGAAAGTTCAGCTTTACATTGTGTCCATTCTATTGCAGAATTCTCCTAGATGACACTTATGTGGTGTCGTCATACGTAGCTTCTAACTGTGCCTCAAGGGTAGGCAAACTCCGGCCCTCCAGCTGTGGCGAGACTACAAATCCCATCATGAGTCAGAGTCATGCAATGCCTTATGGGATTTGTAGTTGCACCACAGCTAGAGGGCCGGAGTTTGCTTACCCCGGCTCTTGTAGAACCATCGTGGCAACAGAACGCCCCCGCAGCTATGCAGACTATTAGGAGTTTTTTTGGCAGGCTTCGCTGGGGGTGCAAATGACCTACAGGTATGGCAGATACACTAATGAAGATTTTCACCAGCCCTGGTGAGACCCTGCACAGCTCACCTGAGAGCCCACACAGCTCTCCGGATGCACAGCCCACCTGAGACCCTGGCCGCAATACATGTATGTAGCTTTATATTATTCTGCATTGCTGTATAATGTATTGCTGGGATTTGTAGTCCTCACAGCAGTTGAAGCTGGGACCCGGCCCTGGAGCTCCACCACTGTCCTAAAATCATTACTCTGCATTGTTTTAGAAAAACTGTCACTCGACACAAAAAAAAGGTACCAGTAATTGGTATCAGCGAGTTCTTGAGGAAGAGCATCGGTACTTGTACACGGTCTGGAAAAAATTGTATCCGTGCACCCCTAATTTATTGTCACCTACCAGGGCTTCTTCACTGCATATGCTATTTTATTTTTTTGTTACAAAGGTGAACTAACACTTGAGCTTCTTTTTTTTTGTTTACATAATGTCTGGAAATGAAAGGCATTCAACAGGGTTACACACACTAGTACAAGCGCTGATATAACTTATGTGACCTTAAGTAATATGGCCGCCCTTGCTTCATGTCGAGTCATGTGACCTCCTGGGGACTCCCTGTAGGAGATCAGTTATGCGTACAGCTGCAGCTATCACCACCTCTACTTCCTGACAGCTCTCCTCCAGTATGTTTTGTCCCCGGCAGAGTCAGTCCCAGTTCAAAGTACAGAAGAGAAGATCAGGGTTATAGCTGGCAACGGTTCTCCGCAGGCTCCCAGGAACCAAGGTAAGACTTCGCCAAGACCTGGGCTGACATGCCAAGAGTCCAATCATGGCTGTCATCTCATTCATACTGCAATCAATACCCTGCATACTGTGCCAAGGACTCACATTCTTGCACTGGTTGGAATGACACATTTATTGCAATGCTGAACTAGTTGTGTTTTATATCACCTAACAGCTGATAAGTTTTGACATTTTGATTATCTTTATTTCCAGCAAGAATACAGTTCGTCCCCGGAAATGGCCGGGTTTTAGGGCTCGTTCACACCAGAGCTTTGAGCCGCGCTGATCACCATTGATCAATGCAACGACACATAGAAAACAATTGTTCTTTTTCACCAAATACATGTGCGTTGGTGTGCGTTCGATGCACAAAAATGCATGTCAATGCATTCAACGCGTTTCAATGCTCTTTTCTGCATAGAGTTGAATGAACTTGCGCCTACTGCTGTGGCCGGGGCCCCCTGAAGAATGACTTGTCCCCAAAATTTCCTCTTTTATTGTGTGTTCGATTCAACTTTTTGTATATGTTAATGTTTATTTGATATGCTGATTTTTAAAAAGGTTTTGAACACTGTGAGGGGAATTTATCAAAACTGGAGCAAACTAAATCTGGAGCACATTTGCACGGCAACCAATCAGCTTCTCTGTCTCATTTTCAAATGTTACCTGAGCAAATTGAAGAGGGATGCTGACTGGTTGCCATGGACAACTGCTCCAGATTCTGTCTGCTCCAGTTTTGATAAATCCCCTCTGTGTGTACAGAATGTTGAGATTAAAAATGCAGAACTTGTTTCATTTGTGTCGTAATTGTTACAATCAAACGTCACTAATATCTTCATTGGGTGTCTTGAGGCTTAGATCAAATAACCGGTGTCTATTATTTTAGAATGTTAACAGATATGGGTGATAGTTTGTTTATAGTATTTGTTATTGAAGCGGAACGCCAGACAAAACCTTTTTGTACAGCGTTGAAGAAGGGTTAGATCCGTGAGGTCAGGTACCGTTGTTGGATGAGAAGACTTGGCTCTCAATCAGTGTTCCAATTCATCCCAATGGTGATCAGTAGGTTGGAGGTCAATAAAGTTCCTTCACACCAAACTCATCAAACCGTGTCATGGAGCTGGCTTTGTGTACAGGGGCACAGTGCTGGAACTAAAAGGTCCTTCCACAAACCATTACTACAGAAATAGAGGAGCACAAATATCTCAGATGTCTTTATGGAGCTTGCTTTGTACACAAGAACATGGCACTGGAGCAAAAAGGTCCTTCCACAAACTGTTGCCACTAGACTAGAGGGGCACAATTGTTTAAAATGTCTTTGTATGTTGTAGCAGCTGTCGCTGACCCAGTGTTGGGGGTTGTTATTGCCGTCACTGACACCAATATTGTGTGTCTCTATGAATAAGCCCATAAGGGTGAAATGCGTCAACGGGGGCAGTCCACGGGAGAGGACAGGAGCATGTTTGCTGTTGAACAGCATTAACATTTTAGAGTGAAGTCAGTGGCATATGGCATCTTCCTTGCACTTGAGAACCAATGTTGGGGGTTATTATTGCCATCACTGACACCGATGTTGGGGGTTATTATTGCAGTCACTGACACCAATGTTGGGGGTTATTATTGTAGTCACTGACACCAATGTTGGGGGTTATTATTGCAGTTACTGACACCAATGTTGGGGGTTATTATTGCAGTCACTGACAACAATGTTGTTGTTTTTTTATTGAAGTCACTGACACCAATGTTGGGGGTTATTATTGCAGTTACTGAGACCAATGTTGGGGGTTATTATTGCAGTTACTGACACCAATGTTGGGGGTTGTTATTGCAGTCACTGACACCAATATTGGGGGTTGTTTTTGCAGTCACTGAACTTACACCAATGTTGGGGGTTATCATTGCAGTACTGACCCCAGTGTTGGGGGTTATTATTGCAGTCACTGACACCAATGTTGGGGGTTGTTTTTGCAGTCACTGAACTGACACCAATGTTGGGGGTTATCATAGCAGTACTGACCCCAGTGTTGGGGGTTATTATTGCCATCACTGACACCAATGTTGGTGGTTATTATTGCCATTACTGACACCAATGTTGGGGGTTATTATTGCAGTCACTGACACCAATGTTGGCGGTTGTTTTTGCCGTCACTGAACTGACACCAATGTTGGGGGTTATCATTGCAGCACTGACCCCAGTGTTGGGGGTTATTATTGCAGTCACTGACACTAATCTTGGGGGTTATTATTGCAGAATCTAGTTTATAGCACCATCATTTACCTAATATTCCTTGATTGAGAAAGTGAAGTATAATGTTTTTATATATCTGGTATTCTCAATTTCTTACACACAGTTTTTGGCACACATTGAAAAGGTTGCCTTCTCCTGCTCCAGTCTACAAAGACACCTGCATGATAAGCTTCTCCGAATGCTGCATTGTAAAACTATTCTCTTCGTTTGCCCTCAGAAGTATTTACAGCTAAATACTCTTATCAGTCAATGCAACTGGCCTGTGAACCCATAGAGCCCATAGATGGCCATCACTGATATGCAGCACAACACTGTGCTGCATATCAGTCATCCACACCTGCCGCAGCCTTGCTATGTTTTTTCTTACTTTTCTTTAGTATGTTGGTTTTGTACATGTGTAGCTACATTATCCTTAATGGGAATGTTTAGTGGTTTGTACATATTCTCTTTCTTTATTATGGCCAGGACTAAAAAAAAAAAATGCTATATAGTCTCAGCCCATCTGCACCATAACAACCTATGTACATTATCAATTAACATACATTTATTTTATTTGTGTATCACTCGGCTGTAGAGCCTCAAATCATCTCTGAATTGGTGCTGACACTGTCCTTCATTCTGGAGGGTGGCTACTTTAGTTCCCCATGGTCCCTGTGTGTGATGTAAAGTAGTCACCGCTCCAAGCTCACTCCTGTGATGGACTACAATCTCACTACAAATCAGTCAAAATGTGAGATTGTAGTCCATCCAGGGAGTGAGCTTGGAGAGGTGGCTACTTACAACACACACAGGAACAATGGCGAACAAAAGTAGCCACCCTCCAGAAGGAAGAACAGTGTTGGCACCAATTCAGAGATGATTTGAGGATCTACAGCCGAGTGATACACAAATAAGATACATTTTTGTTAATAGTTAAAGGAGAATTATGAGGCGAGTGATTTTCACTCACCTCATAGTTCTAGCCGACCTGTGACAATAAAACTGTCACAGGTCGACTCAGTAGATCGGGAAGTGAGCGAACACATACCGGTACTCGCTCACTTCTCAATCCTGTCACTGCAGAGAGCTGTGACAGGAGGGACTAGATTTCTCCCTCCCCGCTCCGATCCTCCAGCGCTGACTGGGAGGGGGCAGTACAGCTGGCTCTGCCTCTAGATAGGCAGAGCCAGCTGTCACTCACGCAGCTGGGCGGATCCAGGCATAATTGTCGGGATCCATTTCAGCTGCGGCGTCTCAGCATACCGCGAGCTACAGCTCCTGGTATACTGAGCTTTGGGTGACGGGAGGACGCTAGTTTGTGTCCTCCCGTTACCCTTAGGAGAACTATGGGGAAAATTGATTTTTTGATTCAACTCCTGAGTTTAGTGTCACTTTAAGTGATGTGATTAAGTGTTGTGTTTCGGAAATTGCACCAGGGTTGCGTTATGTAGTCAATCATGTCATAGTGTTTTGTGTTCTTTAACCTTTTGTAAAGGTGCATTTCAAGATTTCAGGATGGATTATAAGAAGATGGCCGATGAGGTCTCACAGAAGGTTTTATCATATCTTAAAGATGACTCGGGGTGGAAACTGGCCAAATCCAGCGTGAGTGCAAATCCTGCTGAGTAATATACAAAAGTTCCTGTGTTTATAGAAAGAAATAATGTCCAATGTGGATTGTATTCTCCTTCCAGGGCAAGATCACCGTTTCATGGAAACCGTCCAATGAATTCTCAGGAAATCTGTAAGTAATGACAACTGGTGCTATTGTCAAATTTGAGAAGGTCCAAGGAAGGGGATTCGTTAAAGCAAATCATGATATTTGACTGGAGTTCTTTATTTAAACACGGCTTACTGAAGTATTAAAGGTAACAAAAGTACTAAAGCAAGTACCTGTGTTAGCCTGGGCATCTCAATGTACAATATTGGCATTACCTGGTGCCAGAATGAATGAACTCCTGTGCGTATGTGCGGGAGTTACATCATCCTGTGCCAGCCAATCAAGACACTGAACCGAGAAGAAGATTGAACAAGCATGTCAGCAATGACGAGGGAGCTTGTTGATGGTACATTGCTGGAGAGGAGGCAAGTAAGTGAACGTTAGTTCCACTTTAGACTTGCTGGCTATTGGCACCTAAAGAATAAGTGTACTTTCATAGAAAGTGCACGTATGCTTTCTGCCTACATCCCTAAAAAATAAGTCTACTTTCATAGAAAGTGCACGTATGCTTTCTGCCCACATCCCTTAACATCTCAGAGCCCACCCTCCTCCTCCACAGAGTTAGGCTTACCGAGATCTAGTGGTCATGGCCTCTCGGGATTGTTTACATCCTGCGCTGAACCAATCTCTCTGCATGCAACACTTGTGCAGTAGAGCACCAAGCACTTTTATGGGGCTCATCTACCTCTGTCTCCTGGCTGGGAGAAGCAGGGAGATGAGCTGCATAGTCCAGCAGGGAAGCCCCATAGACTTCTATAGGCTCTTCTGCATATACTGTACATTGCAGACGGTGACAGGAGTATGGCCCGGGATGGAAACAGTCCCCAGAGGCTACAGGCACCAGATCTTGGGAAGTATAAATCTGTGGAAGGGGAAGGGGGCTCTGAGATGTTTGTGGTGTCGGGGGGGGGGGGG